TGTACAGTATATGTGTGGGGATTGTTGCAGTAGAAAATTCCACTGTAGCGCCCGGTACATTAATGGGAAACCCTAAATGTTTGAGCACCCTCTATGAAACGTCAAGCTACTCCACAGCACCCCCAAAATAAATCTCTGGCGCCACCACTGAGCCTGACTATTTGTGTTGGGGGGGCCCGACTTATTTTTTTCTCCAAAGGGGGGGGCCTGACAGAAAAAAGTTTGAGTAACCACTGACTTAAGGTATGATGAGTCTACCAGTTAAGATCCAGACGTCCGTGACTGAAATCCTTCATCCGGTTAAATATAGTTAAAAAAAAAGCGCAATATATATCGCAGGGGAAAAAAATAATGGCAATGTCATTTTTTTTCTAATATCGTGCAGCCCTACTTTCTACTGTATATTATTGACACACACTTTCTACTGTAGATCTCTGACAGTTATGGAAGTACGGACTCATGTCTCCTGAAGAGCAGCTGGCAGTAGATCATTGATCCGTCACACCACAGACGGCTGATTTGACATTGGAGCGGTGCTTACGTGTGCAGCTCAGGCATAAATCATTCATCTCCCTCTGTGGGATCTCTTCACCCTTTCAATGATCCTCTGTCACTACTCATTTACAAGTGATGGTTCTGTGATCTGCGTACAGATCAGGGCTGGGCCCAAACAGCATGTGCCATTCACACACCATGACTATCACGTTTCATATGAGTGCTGTGAAAATCCTGCAAAGGAGAGAAAATGCTCTGAAAGCCAAGCATGTACTTGTGACTGTGACCACGGTGAATCTACAAACTAACAAACTGTGATTGTTTCCATAATCTAGTTTAGTGTAGTAGTGCTGTAATGGTTTGTCAAACAATCAATTAGTTAAGAATGAGGCTTGTTTAGTATTGTTATAGTCATATTAAGCTCAATGCCAAATATCTGCTAGTTGCAAATACCCAAATGTAAGAATTTGCTGCTTTTTCCTCAGTCCTTGTGTTCATGTTTGCTTTTGTTTTACAATTTTCTTAAATTATATAGACTAGGAAATGGATTTATTGAAAAAATACCTGGCAGTTAAATGTGGGGTAGGTAAGTTTGAGAAACCGGCTCGAGATACACTTTTTGTTATATTCCATGGAATGCTCTTAACATCCCGATAGCAATGAATATCTGAAGTGCAGCTGTGGACGCCGTGGTACTGTAAAAAGCACGACCAATCATTTTAGCCGGCCCGGCTAAGGTAACTGGATGGCCTACCTGCCTGTCAGCCTTCCATCTGTGCACAAACTTATCTCGTGCCCTCATTGGTCATGTGCGGGTTCGTGTGTGTTGGAGGAGGGGCTCTGTAAGGAAGTGGCAGATTTTTTCCGGCTGTGTATTTTCAAATTCTAGCGCGCTCGAGCTGGTTTCTCCAAAATTACCTACCCCACCTTTAACTTGAAAAATGTTGACAATCTTTTTAAGACAGTTTTTTCTTGTGTTTTTCTCTCACTGAAAAACACTACATTAGTAGCAAATAGTAATTTAATATTTAAAAGGACAATTCTATTCAGCAAACAAACCGGTAACTGCTTGTATTTTCCAGCTTGCCTGTTTGCACACATGTGATGATGACATGTTGTTGTTTTGGCTTGAAGCAGTGACCAGAATGGCAATAGGTCCATGGTGAAGGTCATGGAAGTGGCTTGTGCTGAGTTGCACTACTGCACTGTGACTCATTTCCCACATTTCAGTGAAGAAGGATGGGTTGATTTCCATAAGCCTTGGCCTTGGCTCCAAAGCCATACATCAAGCCATTAATCAAAGGAAAAGCTACAGCACCAAAGCTGAGTAAGGCAGTGTCCTCTAGGTGCACAGCCAGCACCTGAAAGACTTTGTGCAAAGGCATCATGGGAGAGCGAGAGCAATGAATACTTTAATCAAAATAAACGTCAATATCGGTCAAGTTGATGGGATGTTTGGAACAGTATACAACACGCAGAGCATATATACTGGTCGCGCCTGCAGAGGCATCAAGGTGAAAGCTCTGATGGAGAGGGGCGAGTAGATAAAAAGAGCAGCATTCCTTATTATAGATCTGATATGCACGCAGAGAATTAGGTAAAACTTAATTTGCATGGTCCCATATTGACTTATTATCAACAGACAGGTAAAGGCAATTTAATAAGTGAAACTGCGTAAGAAGATATGTTTCTTCCATGGCAACAATATCGTAATGTCTGAATATTTACATGAAGAATAGTCTTGAAAAAAGGTACAATCAGTCAAACTGTCATCATAGTTGTCATGATGAGTATTGGTCATAACATTTGTACTACTCCATTGTATTAATTGAGGAAACGTTGACTGCTACAAGAAGAATATCGACCAGAACAAATAGTACAAATCTTAAAGAGATTGCTAAAAAAACGTTCCTTTAAGTACATTGCAACTTTGAAAATTAAAACAGAAATGAGTTGCAAGAAATCCCTGTTGCTGTTGTAGCAAACTGCATAGGATAATGTAACGGTTCATGATCCGTTTGGCTTGTGAAACCTTCAAATAAACCTGTATTTCTTTAAAGTGCAAGTAGTTTTAAGATCGTAAGATAAGCATCCTATAATATACACCCAACTAAGGCAGGAGTATTTTAGTGGTTGTGTCTCAGCAGATGAATTCACATAAAAATTCTAACCATCTCTAGCTATAAAAGGAACAGGACACACACACACACACACACACACACACACACACACACACACACACACACACACACACACACACACACACACACAACCATCCTCTGAGTCAAAGCCCCATCTTGCATATGCTTCATTAATCCAAGCACACCATTACATAACTGTACTAAATGCTCACAAGAGTGGAAGGGTACAACTAACATCCCTGTGTCTTATGCCTGTGTGTGTGTGTGTGTGTGTGTGTGTGTGTGTGTGTGTGTGTGTGTGTGTGTGTGTGTGTGTGTGTGTGTGTGTGTGTGTGTCCACAAGAGTAAGAGACAGTGTGACAGAGAAAGAAAATGTGGTTACATGAATGTTTGTAGAGCTGTTCAGTTTGTAATCCTTTTGTACCCGCTTGCATTTGTGGGCTGTGTGTGTGTGTGTGTGTGTGTGTGTGTGTGTGTGTGTGTGTGTGTGTGTGTGTGTGTGTGTGTGTGTGCGCGCCACATCTCAGAGTGGGACACTTTCTCTTTCGCCCTTAAGGTTGTCCACATTTACTCTTTGTGTGTGTTTGTGTTGTGTGTTTTCCCACACAGATAGGCTTGGACATCAGTTGTGAGTGTGCGCTCCTCAGTGCTGTACACATGTTCACACAATATTTCTGCTTTTGCATACAAATGAAAAGCCTCTGTGCATATATAATTGTGTCATGTGCCAAATGTACAAACACAGAGTCCTGTTTCTTCACAAATGCTACATGAGTTAAATTGCAGATACACAAACTATGTGTATTTACGCTTGTATTTATCCGACGTTTCCTTGCTTCATGGAAACGGAAACCGCAGCAGCTCCGGCGGTGGCGAGATTAAGACCTCCTCCATTCATACGTTCTACTCTCAAAGCCACACAGCGCTGCCAACAAGACCCAGCTAAGAAAGTAATACAGCACAGTGGCACATGAAATGCATCAGTGAACAGAGCCATTCTGGCACTGGCTCCGGGGACATTGTGTACATACTGTCAACAGCCGCTTGCAACGTGGGAATTTCAAAGAACATATGGCTGCTTGTCGCTGGGAAACAGCCTGTGAGAGCATCCAAACAAGCTCAAAACTAAACCTAGGAAAGCCATTAGCTGCCTGTTAGCAACCCAAAAGACACGCATGTCACACACAAATGCTGACTGATGTGGGTGGCTTCTGATCGTGACAGGGTAGCGATGCTTTCGAAAAGGTTCATTAACGAAGAGACAGCTGTGAGTGTGCATTTTTATGTTGGGGCAAGGTAATGCGTAATGTGGACTTCCTGAATCAGTGGAGCTAGTAGCTGCTGCATTGTGACATCAGCAGCAGAGATAAAGCTCCCCACTGTCCAATTATTTACAGACCAACACTATGGAGCTCTGCTGAGGTCAGAAACACAGGAGAGCAGTGGCATAGGTCAACAACGTGGGCCAGGTAACTGAGGAAAGCGAGGAGTGGAACCAAGACCTAGCACCGAATTAAATAAACCCGTCGATAAGATATAAAGTAGTAATGCATAATAGTGTAACTCTGTTGTACAAGGACTTTTAATGACACACCAGCGGGTTCAAGTCTTACAAAAACCCTTTCTGTACTCTCTGTGCCGTCTCATTACTTACTGTTCAGCTCTCCACCCCTTGACTGATTGCTTTTACATACGACTGAACTCCATATCCACATTTAAATGTCTACATTTCCAACAAACTTTGTGAGAATAAGTTCCTGGGGGTTAAACCGTCCCTCAAGCGCTGACCTCTCATCGCTCTTCACACCCCAAACAGAAAGAGCGATCTCCTCTAACTACTTCCTCTGTCTTGTGACCCTGCTTTGCACCCGCCCTCCCTCCTCCACTAACATCCCATCCCTGTTCCCATGGCAACCCCCTCATCTGTTCCCATAGCACCTGCCTGCTGTACGGGAGACACATGGAGACGTGACATTGACAGAGGAGGTGTGAGAGAGAGAGAGAGAGAGGTTTTTAAAAACCTGCAGGAGAGAGCTGTGAACTCATAGCAGGATACTTGGACATGTCACATTACAATGTGTTGCTTTCTTCATTGAGAGTTGTGTCACTAAAACAGAAAACAAGTTAGCAATCCTCATAAGAAACAAGTGGCACCAAGAGCCCCAAACTAACCTGAGAGCTGTCCACATGGAGGTAGAAAATGAGCACTAGGAATATCAATAAAAATGTTTTACTGGCCAAAATGTTGAAATATCCCACGAGTAAGAGGACAGACAAAGCAGACTGAGGGTCTATAGTTACAAAAAACTGCAATGTATTGTAATAAACCTGGGGGATAATTATGTAAGCATCGCATCCAAGCATGAGAACCACAACCTGCTGTCTCCATCAACACACACTCACACAAACAAACAACAGGGGGTTTACATTTAAAACACATTGACACACACACAAAACACACATTTTGAAAGAAAGTGGAAAGAAACACTGCTGTGCACGTGCGTGTTTGAGACTTTTTGAAGTGTACAGGTACTGCAGGAATGAATTAAACTAACTAATATGAAGTCGTAAACAAATTAAAAACACATTTTAGCCAAGCAAAATGCGGTAGAAACAAAAGGTAAGAGAAAAAAGAAAAGTTCCTCCCAAAATAACGGAAATCAAATAATGAGTCACAATCAGAATCTTCATCTTTTAGGTGTAACAGAGATTCCACAATAAACTATAAATATTTGTACACAAAATAGTAAACAGCATAGCTACAATAACCAGGGTCTGTGGAGGAAAAGGCAGTTGAGCTGTGGGAGACAAACAGTAGGGCTGAGCAGACAGGAACATAGTCTCAGAAGGCTGTGTGTGTGTGTGTGTGTGTGTGTGTGTGTGTGTGTGTGTGCGTGTGTGTGCGTGCGTGCGTGTGTGTGTGTGTGAGAGCAAATGAAGTATGCGTGTTTGTTCCTCACAAAAACCTGTTAAAATTCTAGAGTCACGATGAGCTCTTTTTTGTCCCTTGGTTTCAATGAGGTCTTAGATTTAAGTTTTTAAATTAGGATCAGATTAAGGGTTAGTTTGAGGTTTAAATCTGAAAAGTACAACACAAAAACACGCATAGGTAGTTTAAATGGCAGTAAATCTAACTGAATCTTACGCAGCAAAGTTCATCCTTCTCACAACCCAGCAGATTTATTTCAATCACGTTTGGTACCACTATTTCAGAGTCATTAAAACTGTGTGTTGAGGATGGAGTTCATCAGGGGAATAAATAGGGCTACCACATCTTAGCTGATTAGTTTCCTGATTGGTTGTTAAAGTCGACTTAGATTTATTTTGTCAATTAGTTTTAATGTTGGACGACTAATTTCCCCCAAAATATGAGCACATGTCTAGTCAAAAAACAAGATTTAAAGTGGCGTTCATGCATGATTATTTGAAGAAACCCAGTTCTACAGTCAACGAATCGATTATTAATCAAATTCGATTAAGCGTAAGTGGAATTTCTGTGGTCGAGGACAGCCCTAGAAGTGAATATTGTCAATTTAAAGTCCTCACAAGGATACAAGTTCATCCATGATACATTTATGTTTGTCTACATGTGTGTGTGAGTGTGTTTTTACTGTATGCGTACTCACTTTGGGTGTGGGACAGGAAGCGGTCGAGAGGCGGGACGTGGCCTGGGCGCGGGGCGACTCCGAGGGCGTGGTGCTGAGCGACGCCGTATCCCTGGGCAACACCTGCACACCCCGCGAGATAATGGAGTCTGGGATCTGAGGTCACACACACAAACGTAGGCAGACACACATGCATATGAACACCATAAACACACAGCTGCACACACACACTGATATTCAAGATCCATTTACACATAAATATATATATTATTTTCAAGACGCTACAAACTATAAACAGACACAAAAACCAGCCGAGAGGACACATATTAAACACGTCTAATGTGTAGATGAAAGACAAATGACTTAATAAATGTGACATGATGATGACATATGATGAGATATCGGGGGGCGGAGTCTTACCAACATCCTTCTGTGACTGGACAATGAAGTGGCATGTTACCGTGACAACAGAGCAGGGTCCGGGCTGCAGACAGGGCAGGTAGGATAGGATGATGGGTATGAAGAGATACCTGATGTTACATGTGACTGCACAGAGTAGACACACATGATAAACACACACACCCACACACACACACACACACACATACACACACACACACACACACAGATGTATGATGAGACAGACGTCGTGATATATGAAATACAGAGATACATGACAAACTAATGTTAGGAAAATATTGACTGTTTTTCAACTCAATATGTTAAACCATGTTCATGTTTTTTGTACGTTGCTCTTATTACTGTAGCTGTTGGCTGTTAATGACGGGTTTAATAGAAAAATGGAAGTTGTATTAATAATTTGACTGCTCCCCTAAACTGGTACACTCCTTAATGAAAACGTCACAGCCCATATTTTAAACTTAATTATCAAGGATTCACATTTACACTTTGTTGGCCATTTATAGCAAATTCCTGGTGGTAGACTTTTAAATGTTTGACTTAAGAAGTTGATAAAGATGAGTTTTGATCTCTTGACGCTCGACTAATTTAGTGAAGAGGCGCAGGAGCAGATTCAGTCTCCAGCCTCTTAACTTTTTTTTATTGGAGAAATTATAAATGTTGATTAAAGAGATTAATCGTAGATTTTAAAGGTGTGAAGGACCAAACTTAAGATGGAAGCCGCAGCAGACACATTTTAATAAGAGTTGAAAAACAGTAAATCTATCATCTAAAAAGGTGTTATCTGTAGCATTTTTCCACATCAATGTCATGTTCAGAGTTATCGTAAACATTTTGACATGACAGCTTTTTAAGTAGCCTGGCCCAGCATCAATTATGTATATATGCTTGAAAATAAATACTAGAGGAATAAATGAAAATCAGAGGTATTACACACTGCCTTATCTGAATGTTATGTTATCATCAACATATATCTGAACTACCGAAAACTAATCTCACTCATAACAAGTTAACAAATCTTTGCTATCCCTTTAAGATCACCATTGTTGCCTTTCAAAGATTCTGGTACTCATGACTTCAGTATTTCACTGCAATAACAATCATTTGTTGTCTTCCTCTTTCCTTTGGGTCCTCTATCGTCTGCCATAGACACACAAAACACCTTTTTCTTGCCTGGTTTTGTAAAGTAGCTTTCTTGTAAAATCCAAACTGTATATGTTATATAAGCTGTTCTGTTCATGCTATAAGTGTTTTTAGTGTGACCCTCTTTTGAATTATTTTGGTAGTGACTTATTGTAGTTAAAATGCTACACACAGCACCTTCAACACATGCTTGTATGAATGACATGTGTGAATAGATGATGATGAAGCAGATGGAGTCAGGTGAACATTGAAACAGTAACTCCTCCCCTCCCTTCTCCTCCTCTCCTCCGCTGGTACCTTGGCGGCGATCGATGCGGCGGTGATTGCCGAGGAGGAGCTGTCCTCGGTGGACGCCACACCACTGTCCTTCTTCTCCTCATCCTCTTCCTCGCACTGCACGCCTTTGTCCTCCGTCTGGCAGCAGGGCGAACTGTTGGGTGGCGGCGAGAGGGGTGGAGGGGGCGATGGCAGGTCCTCCAGCTCGTCCGCCGCCTCCTTAACCTTCACCACTGCGTCCCGCAGGAGGTCGATGGCGTGCGGCAGCGCCGGCAGGATGAACTGGAAGCATTCCTGGACGAGTAAAAAAAGTTTACAGTTTTTTTAAGTAGATAATCAAATAATGGAAGTCTCAGACAACATCAGGCAGAAAGATGGTGTTATTTTCTTTATATGAACAGTCTATGGTTGTTACATTAAACACAATGTATATTTTTATAAAACATTGTTGTTTTCTCTCAAATCTTCAAATCTACTTCAAGCTACTGTCAACAAAACTCAAACTTCCCACAGGTGTCTCACATCAAACCTCTCACAACTCTTCTCCAGTACATTAGAGAAGAGAATCAGTGTGATGTGTTTTCCTGTTGATGAAGTTACAATAGAGGCCTAAAAGAAAAAGGACAGTTTATGACCTGAGAGCTGCACAAAAACATCTTAAAAGCAAAGTAGAACTGAAGAATTAGAAATAATGAGAGTACAAACCTATTTAGGGTTCTAGAGACAATAGTACGTGCCTCAAATGACATTACTCTGATGGAATTAGTGATGTGGAAGTGTAGAATTTCCAGAAGTTACCAAGGCAACAAGTTAAGTGTTGAGTTTACATTGACCGGGAACAGAATCCAAAGCAAACAAAAAAAAAGGCAAATAATACGACGAAGTATGCTAAAGTACACGGGAACTTAGAAATAAAGGTCTGTCTCTTATAAGCCTGATTCAAACTAAAGGCTGGCCAATCTGCAGTTAAGTAATTTGAGATTTGACAGTACACTTCTGAAACCAGGAATACTGTCATCTGTTCAGTACGTGTGACCCGGCCTAGAAGCAGAGATTTGCTCCCCTCCTCTGCAGGTCACAGCGCCTCCTTCTGGCCACATGTATACTAGCCTGTGCTCCCCCCCCCCCACCTCCAGTTTCCCCTCTCCGGTGTCTCTCTGTGTGTCAGTGTGCCTGTGGGCTCCTCGGCTATGCTAAATGCTCCATTCTCCTCACTCCCAAGACAAGAGCTGAAATTATTTATCTTCCTGTGTATTTTAAGCATTGAGAAGATATATTATTAATCGCCCCCACACTTTACAGTATCCACGCTGGCTGCGAACGGGCTTTCGGAGCAACCTCTCCACTTCACATCCCATTTCACGTGTGCATATCACAGGCTTGATTAAATATGACCATGTTAACCTTGATTTGACTGAATATTAAATCCCATATATCAACACTAGGATGCATGCATGACTGGAGAAGCATGCCTTGCCACTGTGCATGAAAAAATGAGGATTTCTCAGAGATGAAATGGTAATCTCAGTGGTTGACCACGAGCCAGGCAGGCCTGCTGTGTAGCCGCGAGCTAACCTTTCCCCCCCGAACCCCCGCATACACTCTCACACATACAGATCCCAATCCACACCGCAGACTTTTCATGCTTCTTCTTGTTGTCTTTGAAGCACACATCTGAGCATTTTTGGATAAGAAGGCCGGGCTGAGTGAGGATGGTGTCAAGAGCCTGGAGACATTCCTCCTTTCCCGGTTTGTGCTTTCATTGCGTGCCGGGAATTTTCTTCTTCTTTTTTTTAAGGTATACGTCAGGTTGATTTTTTTTCTTCTGCTCTTATTCTGTTTTGTCCTGGAGGAGAGAAACTGTCAAGAACACTAAAGAGCAGAATCCCTGGATATACTGCCAACGGATGAGAAACACAAACCAGAGAGAAGGATGGAGAGAGAGGGGGGGTGGAGGCAGGAGATGACGAGAGGATGAGAGACGGAGAGAGAAAGAGTGAAAGACAGAGGGAAAGAGAGAGGAATAAAAAGTGAAGAATAAAAAGCAAAACAGAAAAAAGAACAGGAGGAAATAAAAGATAAGAGTGAGAAAGGACATCTTCAACCCTTCTCCAGTTCAACAGGGGGACATGCGGGACACTCTTGGATTTATAGACCATTAAAATAGCAAGAAGCAAAGAATTGTCAAAGTCATGGAGCCCTTACTGTGCATCTGGGACCCTCAATGTGGAGAAAAGGGAAAACAAATCTGAAGTATTTCTTTTAATTGAAATCAAACGTGAAAGTGATTTCCATTTTTGGAGACTGCAACACTACCAAGATGCACTCCCCCTACCTGAGAGGAATGAGTCAATACAAAAAGTTATACACTGCTTTATTAAGTATATAAGAATTCTTAAGGAAGGTTTTTAATGCCTGGGAAAATAACTTTGGTAAAGTCATGAGGGTTATCTCAGATTGGGCTTGAAGTTTGACATCTTAAACAGAAAGTCTGCGTTACGATGTTTGGGCGTGTAGTTTGAAAGATGTACGCAGGGAGAGCTTAACATAATACGCCACTGAGTTGCATTATGGGAAATGTAGGATCAAGATTTTATAAAGCTTTAGCCAGACTCAGATTACCTCTCCCATGGCTGCTATAATTTGACCAATCGTTTTAAAATGTGTATGTCTCAACACTTTATAAAAGTTCTAGACAAAATCATTTAGTACCCATTCAAAAGTCTTCTAAATCCTGTATTCATGACACCCTTCAATTCCAAATCAAGCCAGTTCAATATCCAGACCACAGCATCTGAGTATCCTCATCCTCACCACATCTGCTTATATAAACTGATATCTCATCACAATATGGACACAATGCAGACAACCACATATGCTAAATGCCAAAAGACTACAAATCTGTAATTGAACTCAACACTATCATGACAACAAATGATATAAAGTTAGTTGTACATGCAGTGTAAATGTGTCCAAAGAGACGTAACATGAAGCCATAAGAAGCCCAGCGGACCCTCTGACATGCAGTGAGGCCGGCTGGCTCAGCTGGACTTTACCGTTAGCTTTATGACAGGAGATCATCGTAATAAAAGCCTGCAATGGGAGGCTTGTGCCGTTAACTTTAACTGGGGGTTGATGAGGGAGACACTAATATGGCAGCAGATGGGGGAGAGGTGGCGTAATTGATTAAAATAAATACTAAAATCGATCACGAGAAGCGAGCGCATAACGAGACAGAGACAGATGTGTAGGTCAGCGCGGCAGAGGGGGAGACAGATGGAGGGGACACGGAGACAGCAGTGGGTGGACGTGGACACACACACACACACACACACACACACACACACACACACACACACACACACACACACACACACACACACACACATTACCATACAAAAACATGCTCACACTCAGGAAAACAAACCCCACCCATGCACTCTGCATCTATAGCTTTGTAAAGAAATACATCACAGAGATGTACACATGAAACAACAAAGGCAAAGAGCACACACACAGATCTATGCTGCTTGTGCATACATTGATTTATCACACACAGAGTCACACACCTTCAAATCCATACACACATTCTGTACACACGCTGCTTACAAATACCAAAACCTATAATGACTGCATGTGGATTTAGTTATAGCCTAACGCAAAGTTCACTGCATAAGGAGTCATGTTATTGTCATAGTGCTAAGCTAACGACAGCAGAGACACTGGTTGCTATGTATCCCTCAATGTTTTACTTTATTTACCTTGAAAAGAGTATTTTGTAACGAGAGGTCAACCAAAATGTAGCCGTTTAACTGAGTGTACTTTAAATACAAAATGTGTGATCCCTGCTAGACAATGTGAGATCATGTGTTTTTGACCTCTCGTGGTTGCAGTGAACAACAACTGCTTCGATAGCTAAATTGATTTCCAGCAATCAGCTTAGCTTAAAAATAACCCTTAGCTACACCTGTTGCAGGCCACATGTTGGCTTTTGTTGTGGATCAAAAACTGACATCGATATACAACTTCGGTCATATTTTGAACCGGAGAATCAGCATACACATTTCATCCTGGATGTGTTATTATGGAATAAGGCAAGAGACGATTTGAGATGATTATTCATGTTTTTGTTATCTGAGCCTCCATCTTGACTGCGAGGGAGCCAAGAGGGACAGTTGAGTGAGATTCAACTCTTCTTAATTTGGCACGGGAAAAGGAGACATACCTGGCAGAGCTCTGTCCTCTACTGAGTGCCCTTTTCCAGTCGGAAATTGTCCCAAAAGGAGAGTTTTATGGTCACTTTCTATATGGACTGCATTTGGCCCGTATCCAGATCGATCTTCCTCTCATTCACTCAGTGATGGCCTCACCTTCAGGTAGTTAGTGACTCAAGGACACTCTGACATGGGGCCACAAACTGGGGACCCCATTAACTCCCCAACTTAAATGGGTATTCATATTCATCACGAAATCAAGCACAGCAACTGATCTTTCCGCCTTAATACCGCTAACCCTGGATAAAAGCGATATTGTTCCGTCTCTTCGCAGCGTTTCCTACCTGGGAGCCTTTCTTGCTTCCTGGTAAGTTAATGATGAGCGTCTTCCCTCGGATACCACACACAGGTCTGCAACGCACAAACACAGGGGAACGTTTTTTTACTAATACAGAGGAAGAAAAGTGTCACAGCTCTGCTTGATTATGGTGATATATGCCTCTCCTTCCACCCTAAAGCCTCCATTCAGTGTATCACAGTGTTCTGCACTTTATCACAGGTGATAAATTAACTCTCTCTCCGTTTTGTCTTACATGAAAAGATGGAGGGAGTCACACTGTGCATTATGACTCTATACTTTAAGGCTCTAATGGAATAACTGCCAGTAGTAAAACAGTCATTCGCCATGAGCAGAGTTGCAGAAACTCCAGATCTTCATCAAATGCAGATCTAACCATCCCTCTGAGGCGCACTGCCTTTGGACAATCAGCATTTTCGTTTACGGACATCAAGCACTGGAATACTCTTCCAGTTGAACTTAAAACCCGTACTGATTTTAACTCGTTTTCCCATGGTGCAAAAACAATGATATTAAGCAACCAGTCATGCCAACATTAATTACACTTTAATCTGAGTTTTTTTTTTTTTTTTAATTATTTGAACTGTATTGTCATATCTTAGATATTTTATTTTATTTAAGTGTATTTGAAGTGTACTAAGTATTATGTTCGTAATCTGTATTTAAATCAGGCTTTGTAATTATTTGAGTGACCGAGATCATGTAAGTGTACTATGTATTAATTTATTGAGCAGTACTTAAATCAGGTTTTAAAATTGTTTGACTGATAGAGATCATGCAATGTTATTATTGTTATTGATTGTTA